GAGGAGTCAAATGCTGTATCATGAAACTTTGCACTATACTACATATAGTAACACCTTGTAATAAAAAAAATATGTATTAGAAACCGAGAAATCTCTATTTGAAAAACTATTACTCATATCGAATGATTCTTTATAAAGTAAATTGCACAATTCACTTTTAGAATATTGCAAATTTTACAATGTTTTAAGTGTGCATTGTGCAATGTGCATTATACAATAAAAAGTCACACAATTGAAGCTATTAACTTTAAAGTTGAGGTTATAAAATTATAAATAAGTATACTGTAATAATTTAAGGTTATAAAACTATAAATAAGCAATAAGTAAAAATAAAAATAAATAGTACAAATAAAAAGTACAAACTATAATAAGTCAGATCAATAGTATCACTTAATTTTAAAATGATAAAAAAGAAACAACTGACTAGCGTAAACAAGTTATTTTCAGAAGGTCTAATGGAGACCCTTCGCAAATGTTCAAGCAAACACTGTTAGGATTGCGACTCATAGGTTGGTATCCGCTGAACTAGGAAGTTCACATCACGCTTATTTGATTAAGCCGGCTTTGAACCTCGGACATCTGGGTTCTGAGAAAGAACACGCGCCACTGCGTTGCGGCTGAGTAAGTTCTATACCTATATTTGTGGTATATATGAAAGTAGTCGCAGTTAAAATATGTTTTATCATGTTAAGAAACAATAATGTTACAGTATTATGTATTGAACAATTAAATGGTATCCCGGACAAGTGGAATAACCTTCAATTTGTTCTTAATAAACCGTTATAAAGAATAAATTGAAATTTATTCTTTATAAACACCTTTAAGGTAATACTAGCCCATAAATTTTTTAAGAATCAGTATAATTAATTTTAATGCAATATTTAGATATTTAGAGTGAATACAATAAAAACTTTGAATATACTTAAAAACATGCTGAGCAAATAACATGCATTTTTAAACAAATATTTCCCCTAAATTAATCAAAATTTGAGTCTAAAATTTTGTAAAAAGGTTTACAACATGTTGGTTAAAAGATTTGACCAGAATCATAATCATAACATTTATATTATTGAAATGGCATTTTAAATTAAGATTTTTAGTTTATGTTATGTAAAATGTGTGCTGCCAACATTAATATCTCAACAACAGCAAACTATAAAAATCTCGTTTTAGTCAAATCCTCTCCAAGTAATCTGATGAACAATTGGTGAAATTTTAGCCATAATGTTTTAGTAGTTAAAAAATTATTCTTGTTTAAAGTTGAAACAAATGTTTACAGAGAAAACGCAAAGAAATAGATTAAACAATAAATATATTAAAATTTTCTGGACACATGTGAGTCATTTTTACAAAATCCTTTTCTGATACCTCTCAGCTTTATTTTTATCAATTTTATTACTTATTTTCTTTTTTTTTATATGACTGATGCAATTTTTGTCTTTTTTAATTTTATATCACTATGTTAGTTATAAACTTAGTTATGAGTAATGATATAATTATACATTTTTGAAATATTACTTATAAATTTTTGAAATCTGCAATGATTCTATTTTTCAAATTTAAAGAAAAAACTTTCTTGAAAATTTTAACATTTTATTGGTAAGTAAAATCTTAACCACCCATTTAACAATTAAATGTGCTGGTTGCTGTAATGCATTTATACAAAGATGTATTATATGCAAAACAAAAAAATCAATTTGAGGCCACATGCCCGGTATACCATTTATTTACAATTTTTTTTAAATATATATGTATTTTTAAGGGATATGGAGATTTAAAATGTTTTATATTTTCTTAGTTTTAACATATGCTCAACTGCATTTAGAAATGCAGAAAATTAAGATTCTTATGAAATAAAAATATGTACTCCATTTTATGTTTCTACAGAATATCTTCTTAAAATAATACAACCAACTTACCAAGGTTACTAGAGTATACTTTTAAACATCTTACCAAGGTTACTAGAGTATACTTTTAAACATCTTACCAAGGTTACTAGAGTATACTTTTAAACATCTTACCAAGGTTACTAGAGTATACTTTTAAACATCTTACCAAGGTTAATAGAGTATACTTTTAAACATCTTACCAAGGTTACAAGAGTATACTTTTAAACATCTTACCAAGGTTACTAAAGTATTCTTTTAAACATCTTACCAAGGTTACTAGAGTATACTTTTAAACATCTCACCAAGGTTACTAGAGTATACTTTTAAACATCTTACCAAGGTTACTAGAGTATTCTTTTAAACACTAAATTAACGGGTTTTAAATTATATTTAATAACATTTTAACAATTGAAATGACATTAAAATTCGCCTTTTTAAAAATGAATGGGTTTTAAACTTCAAATAGTCTTAACTTTCGAACACTAAAAATTTATTTGATGAAATTTAAAACCTGTCAATGAATTCAAGTTTAGTATAAAATGCTTAAAAAAAAAGTATTTTATTAACTCCACATTTGGCGAAAAGAAAGCGTAAAGGGACTACGAAAAAAAAAACAACCCAAAAAACGCCATTGTAAACATTTACCTAGTAAAAACAAAAACCCAAAATACCTCATTACTCCAATATTTTTGTATATTCTTATTATACATTCTTATTCGACATAAGCATGAACATTCTCTGGAGTTTGCACAATATCTAAAAGTCCCATATATAAAACAAGATTACTCTAGATAAATCAAGATTACTGAACTCTCTTTCGTTTATCAATAAAACTAAGTGCTGATTATTTGCCTTAATGAAGTTCAAGTCTTCCTTGATGCGGTACCGATTAATAGAACAATATTTGTGATTATCAACATACTCGATACAGTTAAAGTTGATATTCTGAACACTCTTTATTTTAATAATCTGAATATTTATATTCTGAAGAAACGGTAGAGTAACAATGGTGGAAACCAATGTTTACACTGGTTTAACTTTTGATATTTTTAGCTTTATGAGTTATTACAATACCATTGTGAAAAAATATAATCAGAAGGGTATAATTTTAAAAAAGTTTTTTTGTGAAAGTTTATGTAGGTTCATAACTGATAGTTATAAACTTTTTATTTTAAATCTGATTAATTTATTACGACTAATTCCGCACCTTTATAAAATTATAAATTTTTTAAACATTTTGGAGTCTAAGTGAGAATAAAGTGTAAAAACGTCTAACTGACTTTGGGTGTGATTTAAAACTCCTGATATAAATATTTTCCCTAGTTTTTTTAAAAAAGTTTGTTTTTATGTTTTTTTATGGGTTTCTTTATATCATTGAATGATTATGAAAACTTTACTTTTAAGACCTTACTTTGAACTACTTTTTGAAAAGATTTGTTTCATCTCATCAGAATTTAAATTTTCAAATCCAAATTATGTTGCCAAGCAACAACATGTCTTTGCGGTAACATATATTCCGGAGAAAATACCGAACATCAAAAAAACAGCATAAAGGGCAAATGTTAGGCTTTCGGAGCAAATAAACAATGAAATAAAGCCACCATTGTTGTTTTTTTTATTTAGGTAAAAAGAATAAAACTTTAACAATATTTAATAAACAAAACAAAAAAAGCGGACACTCAAAGAAGACCATTAGGTCTAGTCCCAAAGAACCGCTAAAATTAAATGTGATAAGTAAATGATTTTTAATAAATTTTTAATTTAATAAAATTGATTAAATATATATTTGATATCATTTTAAAACAAGTTCTTTAAGTTCTCTTTTGATGAAATATATGCAGATTAACATTATCTTTAAAATAGACATTATCATTTGAATAGTCATTTAGAATAAAATTCTTTCTGTTTATAATTACTACTGACTTTATTGAAACTGATATTGGTCAAATTAGCTAAATACCCACAACAAATACGTAATGTTAAGAATAATAATAATCAAAATTCGTAATTTTAATTTATTTCTTCATTTTTGACTTAAATTGTACCATAATCCTTCTAAAAACCATAGTTTTAGTAGAATTTTAAATTGAACTAAATTTATGTTTTCAGATAAGGACTCCATGCTATTCAAGGTGTCCTTACCTGAAACAAGATATTTTAAAGTTAGAAAAAGTACAAAAAAGAGCTACAAAGCTAGTACCAGCTTTAAAAAAAAAAGCCATATGAACGAAGATAAAATTAACAACACGTCGTTAATTGGATAAACGACTCAATAATTTTTTATAATTAAAAAAAAATAAAAATGATGTTTTGTGATAACTTTTTTGGACTTTTTTTTTGTGCTTTTGGTAGTTGCAGAGTTTTCAATAATTGGTTGGTTTTTCCGATTTACGTAAATATTATGCATAGCTCTCCTAATTTATATAGTATCCAAGTGGCTCAACTATTTTTACAAATCGAGGTTAGATAACTCTTATAATTTAAAAATTGGTTGTCAGATAACTTATAATTATTAGGCTGCATTCAACCCCCAGTATAGCAAAATGGTATTTCACAACTCCGTCTTTTAAATCGGGTGTGCCTTTTTAAAAACTTCTTTAATAAGGTTTCTAGGGTTCGTACCGTAAAAAGATTTTTTTTTATATCGTGAGATAAATAGCTATATATTTTGTGATTCATATGCAATCAGATGTAGGATGTACGTCCCCCGAAAATTGTCTAATTAGTTCTAACTACCGTGAAAGAAAACTAAAATAATCTTAAGATAACCGAGAAATAGTTTGTGATAATTAAAAAGTTGAGGTAAAAAAAAATTCTTCTATTATAGTAATGCAAAATGTTGTCATTGTTAATTAAACTTTATATTGACGTTATTATTGGTGTTTTCTTAAGTCAATCACAGGCACTGATTGTTTGCTAATAAACTTATCACAGACTACTTGCTTTATCATTGATATAATATAATTTTATATAATACGTCTTTTTTTATTCTAATCTAATTGTTTTCACTTCAATTCAAAACAAAATTTACAAATAAAAGAATGTTGTTTATTAGTTGACAAGTAGGATGTCTAATGTCTTAAAGATTGAAAATACTTAATAACACAGTTTTAAAAATTACCTATCTATTGGGTAACAACTTAATTTTTTTTTTTCGTAGATTTTCTTTTACTAATTTAAGTTAAAATCTGAAATTTAATACGTAGTTTTTTTTTTTAGCGTGTTTTTTTTTCTTCACCACTTCGGTTTAGTTTAGTTTTGTTTTATGCCGATTTTTTTTTTATTAATGCTTTTAATATATGCTTTTATGTGTATATATATATATATATATATAAATATATATATATATATATATATATATATATATATATATATATATATATATATATATATATATATATATATATATATATATATATATATATATATTATGTTGTAATGTGTTGTAAGTTTTGTTCATGTCTCGCAACGTGAACAATTTGCAGCTAGTTTAATGTTGCACAAGTTTAAAAATTTATTAGCTACAATTATTGATATTAATAAATAAACTAAAAAGTTATGAATACATAAAATGCAGTACATAATAGTTATAAATATATATATAAGACTATTAATGATGACGTATTTATTGTTTGAATGCATAATAAAAACGTCGTTAAAATTATTTTAGATAAAATAGAAATTATATTAAAGGATTTATTTTACATATTCGGTAACCAATAGATACACAATATTAAACTTTTTATATAAGTTATTAACAATTCCGATGTATCTTAAATATTCAAGCTTGTTAACTTATATATAATAAACGCGTGTGAGTATATATATATATATATATATATATATATATATATATATATATATATATATATATATATATATATATATATATATATATATATATATATATATATATATATATTATATATATATACGCAACAAAACATAAATAATGGAACAACTATAATTTACTATATTATTAGCATTTTTTTAAAAATTGATACATGTAAGTATATATATATTATTAATAATTAATATCTATATAAATAATAGCATAAGCAATTGCACATTTTTAGCAATACATGCAAGTTTTTGGAATTCAAGGAATAAACAGTTATTGGGGAACAAGAAAGTGAATAAAGTCTTAAATTAATGCAAACTAAGATAATAATGCCTTTATCTCATGAGAGATTTTCAACTACTGACAGTTTTTAATATTTGTCAATTTAGATTAAAAGTTATTTCATTAATTATTTTGGAATGAAATACCCAGTCGAATATGAGTTAATAAAAGCAACACGCAAAAGTGAAATTTCAACAGAATCATTATTTGATCTTTTGCAACAAATAGAAAGTGTTTTTCTTTACGATTATTTTGAAAATAAAAATGAAAGTGGAATAAATGAGGTACATCCTTTTAAAAAAGAAAATGAAGACTTTAAAGAAAACAGTTTTGCAAAGAACTCAAGTAAAATTGTTATCAGCAACAACATTTGCTTAACAAATAATCTAACTATTGCTTATAAAGACAAAAATAACACTACCAACAACAACAATAACTACAACAACAACAACAGAAGCAACAGTAACAACAACAACTTTAACAACAATAATGACCACAACAACAACTACAAAAAAAACAAAAACATCATCAACAGTAACGACAACAACAACGCTAATATTATTGTAAATCAAAACAACATAATTAACAACAACAACTGCAATAATAATGACAACAGTAATACAATAAGAAAAATATTTTCCCAGTACTCTTGGTTCACAGAAGAAAACTATCCAACAAGTAATAGTTTGTCAAGTTTAGCTATTTCAAAAAAAAAATCTAATCTTGGAGGTGGTTTAAGAATAGAAGAACCTTGTGATCCTCTCAACATCAAAAAAGAGTTACCTTTTTTATTTTACAACCAAAACCGCTCTAGTTCAGACTTTCATTCTACTCAGTTATCTAGGAGTTATTTTTTACAAACAACGAATGCATGCAAAAAAGAGGCTAAGAAAAAAAAAACTCCCGTTATTGAAAATAAAATTTTAGAAATTCAATTAGAAGATGTTAACAAAATAGGTACTTCTCTGTTTTTTTTAAACAATTTCCAACCTGCTCCTGAATCAAAACCAAATGAGTATGAAGTTAAAAATTTAGCTAATAATGTTGCTCCGTTACCATTAGTTTTTTCCAAAGAAACTTCTTGTAAAAATATTCAGAAACAAAAGTTAACAGTTTTTGGAAATACTGAAACAGATTTATGGTTTAAAAATCAGTATTTAGTTCCTACCTTGACGCCAGAAATAAGTTCAGATGTGTCTCAACCATCCCAGGATACTGTTTATACATCGAGTAACTCTCAAAGTACGTCACTAACAGATTTAAAGAAGACAATAGATAATGTAGATAATTTTCTTCGATTAAGGAATATTCAAAGCTATAAAAAAAACATGCTAAGCAATTGTAAATTTTCAAAAAAGTCAAGCCAACTTTTTAAATGGAAGTTAGAAAGTGTTAAAGATTTACTACCAATAATCATAGAAGAAGTAACAAACATTAACTCGGCAATCTTAAACATAACAAATGTTGATGTGATATTAAATGATGACGTTAAATTTGATGATAAGTTAATTGAAAAACAAATTGATGAAAAGATAGAATATATAATATTAGAAAACTTATCACTCGTACCTTTATCAATATTGCTGTTCTCTGATTGTTCGGAAAAAGTTGAAATAAAAAACTGGACGAGGAAGTCAATAACTTTTAATCAAAATTTAAAAGTTAACCAATCTCAGCAAATAATGACTATGAAAACTGTTCACTTCAAAGAAATGAGCACACAAGAACTGAAAAATAGTTATCAGGAAATAAAAAATAGTTTTTATGAAAACTTTAATACAAAAAAAAAGGCGACAGAAAACGACGTCAGAGAGCGACAGATATCGTCAGAGAGCAACGAATTTAGAACGACAGAGTTAAAAACTTTTCAGAAAACAATTACAAAAAACAGTGAAAATTATTTAAAAAATTGCTCGATTAAATATCCTTTATCGTTTGATTCTGCAAATGTTCAAGATACTAATGACTACCAAGGTTACCACTATAATAGCTCAAATGATGACACATGCGGTTGTGATTTTTATGAAAATCGTTATTTAGAAGAGAATTCAAACTTTTTTAATGAAAAACAAACAAATGATTTTTGTGAAAGAAAAAAAAAAGATCTTTATCTCAAGCAAAAATTTATAAATAATCTTTCAATAAACCAATCAGATTTTAGTGCGCAAAAAAAAACAGAGAATAACACTCACAGTCTTCCACAGTGGAGTAGTCAAACAAAAATATACAACACCAAAATAGATGAGGAGAAAAAAACTGATATATTCAAAACAAAGGCTGACATAATAATAAAAACAAACGACTCATTACATGAAAATATTTTGTGTGAAAACTTCAATCATTTATATGAAAATACTCAAAACCATTTTGAACATAACCAGTTTACAGATATATTTGTCGATTCCTTCCAATCTAAAGCTTCTAAAAAAACAATGCAACTTTCTGAAAAATTGTGTGAAGATAATGATTTGCCAAAATATGAAAACTTGTTCCTTAAAAACCAATATAAATCCACGCTAGCGCAAAAAAGTACCATACCTGGTGATATGTGCTCTAAGAAATTTGATGTTGCTAAAGCTGTCGATGAAAACGGCAACTCGTGTCTCCACATAGCTGCAATGAACTGTGATATTTCTGCAATTAAATATATTTTGAGAAATGGAGGAAATGTTTTCCAAAAAAATAATAACAATTTATTACCTATTGATATGGCGGGAGACTTCCAAACTGCAAGTTTATTCTCTTCAGTGATGCTTTTTTATGGTCATAGCTAACTATTTTTTGTTTTTTCAATCCCCATCAAAACTTGCAGTTGCTTATATATATATATATATATATATATATATATATATATATATATATATATATATATATATATATATATATATATATATATATATATATATATATATATATATATATATATATATATATATATATATATATATACATATATATATATATATATATTTATATATATAAATCTGTTCAGGATCAGCAAAATATGTTTCTTGAAAAAAAAAAACATTTATGGTGGTTATGAAACTAAACCTAGTAGTAGATAAATAAAAAACATTTTAGTGAAGTTTATTTATTATGAAAAAATAAACATATTACATACAGTTATTTTAGTTTAAATATTTCTTTCGCATATAATTTTTCTAAAAGTCTATAAATCTGCAAATTACCAAATAGCAAAACAACATATATTTTTAATATTGTATATTATATATAATAGACACGATGGACTTAAGTCTTTCTTGGATTAACGTGTTTAACTTTTGTGAATAGGCTAAGTAAAATATTTATAAATATAGGAATAAAAAATATTATTATAAAATAAAACTCACTAAAACCGTATGTTTTTTGGTTCTTTATAATAATTCTTATTCATAACATACAATGTTAAGATATAATATTAAAAAACATTTAACAACATACAAAATTGTGTATTTTTGTTTAACTTTGAGCAACAACGTCTCTCAAAACACTCTCAAAACAACGTCTCTCAAAGCACTTTTATTTATATTGATTCTATTTTTTTTAAATCGTGTGCTAATCAAGGCATCTTTATCATTTACTTTTATAACTTTCTGTTTTAAAGTTTATATTCAGTCAATACAAGGTTGTTGGCGCCTGAGGCAAACGTAGTTTTAGCGCCCCTTCCATAGCGCCCCGCCTGTCATAGTCAGGGAGGCCTGAATATTTATTTAACTTGCGGTATTAACTTGCGCAGTGTTCATTATGCACATTTTTATTATAGTTTTTATAATAGAATAATAATGCATCCTCGGAATATACTGATATATAATTTACCTTGTAATGTAAATATGTATCATTTCTTACAATTTATTAATGTTTATACGACTAAAAATACACTATACAATATTCGAAAACTAAATTAATAGACAAATAATTTCAATCGTGTTTTTGAAAGATTTGATTACACTTGCCTTTAGTATATTATAAAGAAGGACAATTTCGGAGACAACCAAAACTTCAAATGTTTTTTATAGTTCATCAAAATTTAACAAATCTATATGAGAAAAAAAGAAATTATTTTAAACAAAGGAAAAAATCTTAGTTAAAACTGAATGCATGTAAAAAAGATACATACCGCATCCACATAAAATCTAAAGTTTTCAGTTGGGTTAGTGTTAATTTTCTGTAGTCTGTATTTTCTGTATTTGTCGCTAATTTTGCCTTCATCACCATCATTAATAAGAGAAACACTAAAGGACTTAATTTTTGTAAAGCACTGACTGGATATGTAAAAACAAAGAATAATAACAACATAAAAAGTTCCAATATCAACATATATATATATATATATATATATATATATATATATATATATATATATATATATATATATATATATATATATATATATATATATATATATATATATATATATATATATATATATATATATATATATATATATATATATATATATATATATATATATATATATATATATATATATATATATATATATATATATATATATATATATATATATATATATATATATATATATATATATATATATATATATATATATATATATATATATATATATATATATATATATATATATATATATATATATATATATATATATATATCAAAACCCGGGTTGTTGGGGGAGGTCGTATTCTAATAAACATTTGAACATTAATGATGTTTAAATATACATTTAAACATCATTAATGTTCAAATGTTTATTAGAATACGACCTCCCCCAACAACCCGGGTTTATAGCAGAACTCAAGTCAAAAATAGGTACCAAGTTTGAGTGAGTTAGTAGGCTGTCAATGCAAGCTTTTTTATAATGAAATTTGGCAGCGAGCAAAAAAAAAAAACAGTTTTTGCAGAAGCCTGAATAAATAAGAAAGAAGTCCCAGTATTCCTACAAAACATACCTAATGCACAAACAACAAAGAAGTTTTACACAACAATAAATTCATTATAAAAAAAATTTTACATAAAAAAATTTCCGTTCAGAAATAAAGTTAAACTACTTTAGTACTGAAAAAAAGTTAATGTTGACACAAATTTATAAAAAATAGCACAGCAAAACATGTTCATATCATACCACTGTTTAAAAGACTGAATAATCCGTGGCACAAAATTTGGACGAAGAAAACGGTTCTGTTAAGGTCGGATTTACGCTTATCTATTTTTTTTTTTTTTTTTATTTATTTGAATTTTCATGCTATTATTTTCTATACAATATTATATCCGAAAATGTTGTTGGCTTAGCATAGGAACAGCCACAAATGATCATTAAGACTAATCCAAAGTAGCGACCAATATTTTTGCGTACCGAAGCGCTACTCAAGCACTGAGTTGGCGGTGGCAGGATTTGAAATCTTATCGTACAACAGTCCTGATTTTATCTTTTTGTTTGACGCTCTAATTAACTGAGCTGGATATCTCAGTTGATTAGAGCGACTTTTGGTTGTTGGTCAGTTAATTTTTTGCATATTGATATATAGGAAGTGCTTCAGCAGAACGATATCTTTACTGAAGAGATATTTTTCTGCTGAAACATTTCATATATATCACAAACGCATTAGGAAGGCTTAGTCTTCGTATAGCTTTTCGTGTATACCTGAATATTCCTGACAGAATACAGATACAGAGTAGTCCTATAATTTTATATTAAAATAAAATAATAATTTTAAATAATTTTAAAAGTTACATAAATCAAATAAAAACTTTTCACAAACTTGTTGTTTTTATTTTGATAAAGCGATTTTAATCACACATGCGTTATGCACACTAATTTTTATATATTTTTATTTAAATAAAAGCGGGCATGTTTATACGTATTTTTATTTAATAATTGGTATTAAACTCAAATTCAAAACTGAATGCGGTACTTTATTTTATTTTATTTAAAGTATTAATATAGATAAGATTTAGCGGGAATTTCGAGCGTGAAAACTAAAATTTTGAGAAACTCTCCCTGATTTTTCTCGTTTAATGATGATTTTATAATAACAATAATAATAAGTTGGCCTAAGCTTTAACTATAAACAATGATTTATTCTAGTAATATAAACATTTGAAATTACTTCGTTTGCTAACGTTTACTTTGTAATTTTATTATTTTTGTTGTCATAAATAATAACCTTATCATAGCCTGTGGCGTAATGAGGTTTAACGTCGTGAGGAAAGGGGGTTGAGAAAAAAATTAATAATTATTGCAATAGTTTAGTTATTTAAAAATATATTTACGAAAGATAAAAAATTAAATATATAAATTTATTTATATTAAATCTTTTATCTTCTTTGTGTACTGAAACTTCTCTCATCAGATAATTTATTATATTCTTTAGTCTACTAAAACTTTTCTCCATAAGCAGATGTTAATGGAAGACGTCATCTATTTCTCTATAAAAAATGGATGTACGTCGTTAATTTATAGTTAAATTGTCATTGGTGGAAATATTGATGCATACACGTCTTTAAAAGTATGGCCGGCGCGAGTAGGTTTCATGTGGGGAGGGGTTTTTAATGTAAGTCGTGAAACAATAAAATAAACTATTAAAAGCTCTTTACTAATGTATATATATATATATATATATATATATATATATATATATATATATATATATATATATATATATATATATATATATATATATATATATATATATATATATATATATATATATATATATATATATATATATATATATATTAGGGTAGGCCAAAAACAAAAAAATTTGAAAATTTAACATGTCTGCAAAAAAAAGTGATTCTTTTCACATATGAATTCAAACTATAAAAAAAAAAATTGGAAAAAAACATCATTGAGTGCTGCCGAATTTGATTTGATTATTTTCATTTTTAGCCTAAAATATGTCAAAATTAGGATTTTTTAGGAAAGTGAAAAAAGATTAGAATTTTTATTTCTATAGGAAATATTTGTTATTTGAGGCTATTCATTTAATAGACAACACGTTTTTGATCCTTTTTGAACTTCCCCCATGTATCATTTTGTATTACTTGTTTATCGACTCCTCCCCCGCCCCCTTTTTTATGCGCAGTGCTATTATTGTTAAAAAGGATATATCTCTAAGTAAATTTTTGCTAAAAGTTTACTAATTCTGCTATTATAAGAATTGTAATTCGCGTCACATTGTAGCTAACTACCCTCTCCATGTGATATTTGGTGACACTTTCAATATCCCTTCCCCACATGGGAGGGGTTTACCACAATACAAGTAATAACTGCTTTTATAACTCCTTTTTAAATGATAGATTGCATGAATTACAGAAGAGTTGATTAATTTGGAAAAAAATTATTTGGGGCTATTCAAATAATACGTGACAGCCTTATGACCAGGCTAATGAAAAACAAAAAAGATAATAAAAAAGCGGTTATTATTTATACTCAGCTAAACCAACGAATAATTGCTTCTTATTACAATTGCCTACAACTTTTCTGTGATTTTCAACCACGTTAAAAATTTCGTTTCGTACAGCTCTTAAGATAAGAAATTTTATTTTAATCTGTTCTAATAGTAAATTTTTATGATTATGTAGATTTTTTAATTGCCTACTCAACTCATTTTACGGCTTACCTTTGTAAGTATTTGGAGATAATCGGAACACAACTTAATTCCTTTCTCAGCCGCGTCATTAGTCACTTTTAGAGTTTTGATAAACAGCTTCATTTTCAAATAATAAGCATTGTCGTCCCATTCTGAAGAAGGAATTTTAAGCCATTTTCCATCATCTTTTAAATTAAGAAAAATTA